TTGAATTGAAAAATTGAATTGAATGTGATCTGAGTGAGACATTCTTGAGTGATGGAGAATAGATGGGATAATAATAAAATCTGAAATGAGGACGTAAGTGAAGGGATTTATGTTGGGAGTGTGCACCAGTGCCTGGTTTGTATATCCTCTTTATCTGACATTTTTGCAGTCTCGCAATACCAGACAATCGAAGATCTCAGTTCCTACCAATCGTCTGGGGATTTTTAAATGCAAAGTAGTAGCTTGAATGGTGTTAAGAATGGATGCTATAAACATATGCCCCTTACTTCAAGGACAAGCCTCACCCGAGACGCCACTCCATTCTCCTCCGTAGTGAAACAAACTGGAGATAGGCAATCATTTTTAACGCGGAAAGAGCTTTCTAAAACATTGAAAATGGATGTCCAAAGCAACGTTATATAGTATGACAGTGTTTACAAGTGCACAACTTCCGCAAGTCACTGTCCTAAAGACTTTGGATTGTTTCTGCAATGTTCTGCAGCTGGGAGAAAGTCCTCAGTGACTGTTGAAGTGTTTAGAGATTGGCTTGTGAGTCTTGTTGCCCTACAGCAGTTAAAATGTATGAGCTGCTCACGATAGACAGGCAGACTTTCGGAGGGAAATTTGAGTGTTAACAGCACCTCATTTATTTAAAATAATTTAAATTAAAAAAAAAACAGCTAGAAAAATGTGAAAGTAACAACTTTGACATTTTGGTAAATATGTGTCTTTGTTTTGTTATTTTCTTTCTTCCAAGAGTTAAGTGAGGAAATCAATACCACTCTTATGTGTCATTAGTGAGTTGTTTGTAGGTGGATTATTTGTTAAACTTCAGACAAAGTTAGGCCAGCTGTTTCCCCCTCGTTCGAGTCTTTATGTGATGGAAAGCAATCACACTTATTCTGCAGGCTCAGACTATAGAGGGCACACACACCATAAAGCAAATAGACAGAAACTTATTAAGCACTTATTAAATAGTTCACAACAACACCCCAGCCTGCTGTGGCAGAGTCTGTTGCTGCAGGATGCTTTGTAGTGCTGAATAGTTGTCTGTACATCCCATCTTGTCTGAACTATTTGGCTGAACAAAGGGGTTCTGTTGCACTGTCAGCACTCCATAAAATAAGTTTGTGAAGTCAAAAGGAATAATTGCATACAACCAAACCCCTTTAACCTGCAACTGATGGAGATAGTGTTTGAAATAGGGAAAGAAAAGTACATCCTGGCAACATGAGTATGGATCCCCCTCTATGTCTCTTCACCTCCTGTCTAAGTCGCGTGTAAATAGACTGATTCATCTGTGTCTTGCTGACCTGAGCAATAAAGAAAGCGCAAGGAGGAGAGCGGGGCCACAAGATGCTGCCAAACCACAGCTGAGGTGAGTCCATCAATGACACTGGGTCCGATGCCAGCAGACCATAGCAACCCAAATCTCAAATACAGCGTGGTGACATTTAGCAAAATGATGCCAACATTGGCGCTTCTCTCTGGGTCGTAGGGTTTTTCGGGAGTGGCGGTGGCGGTGTCAGCAGCCTTTCATTCCCCGAGGCCCAGTGGGCAGCAGTGTACAGAGATGAGAAGCAAGCACCAAATGCTACAGCAGAAACCACATTTCCAATAGTAATTCTTTTGCTCTGAGTCATACTTAAATGCTTTCATCACTCTCTGAAACCTGAAGTGAAGGACATGATTGTGAATTATAGCAGTGGTTCCAAACCGTTTTGACTTATGACCTCTTCAGTGGAAGCAATTAAGCACTCGTGACCCCTCATCGCAGATT